GACTCCTTATTTTCTTATGTTCTTATGACATTATTTTTTACCTATGAGATATATATACAGTATTGTATGTGAAGAGTGCAGGTATTAAGAAGCACAGATTATTTCAGTAACATATCTTTACTAATTAGTGAATAACAAATAAATTCTATATTGCATCGTCAATGACACTCGTTTAATGAACAGTAGTGGTGAGAATGATTATGGGAGGGAGGGAGGCAAGAGGCAGTGGATATCATACGGCTCTGCTCTGGCTGAAGCTAATTCATCTCTGTATCACTGAAATCATGATTTAAACAGGTGAAAATAGAGGTAGTGGTGATGATGGGGGGGTTGGTGGTGAGGAAGATTGTGGTAAATGATGAGGTGATGCATCTATCAGTTTCTTTGGTAACACTGTTCAACAGTTGATATCTACCCACTAAATTGAGTGGAAATATAATGAGCACTGATGTATCCTTAAAACATTACATTACATAACATTTTAAAATATGGAGTGAGAAGGCAGAAAGGTGTGGGTGATTAGGGAGATGGAGATGAAAGGAGTGGTAACATGCACTGGTGTGTTGCCAAGTGCTCCTCAACAACCTCGAATAACGACGTTAATGTGTCCTCCAATATTGCAGTTTAAGGTGAATCGTCTTATCGCGAATCATTAATTACCATTAAAATAAAGCAATTATAATGAGATGCATTCCCAAGTGTGATCTTTCATATCTTTTGAGTGGGTTTTTACCCTCTTTCCCCCCCTAAACAATACAATTAATGAAAATTGCAAACTCTATTCTTTAAATAATGTTTCTGAATGCACCTTATACAATATAAATGAATAATAATATGGTCACACAAGAGGAGATGGGACGCCAATGTTTTTTTTTTTCGTGTTTACAGCTGGGAGTCCGGGACGATAGTACTACACGAGAAAATGAAGAAAATGAGACCCTGGTTGTAGATGTAGTAAATTTAATGTAAAAAAAATGAATATACAGGTATATGTTTTAAGTAACATTATTTAATGTTAATAAATGGAACAATCGAAGTAGCTAATCACTAATGGCAAAGAAAAAAAAAAGAGATGGATTAGGAATGCCAACATATACGTGTGTATTTAATGATACCGCGTCATTTATCTGAAGAATATGTACAAAAGATTCATTATTGTTTATTACTGAATATGTATTTGATTGAATTAATGTTTATATATGTGAAATGAACAATGCAATTCATTAATAATACATAGAATATTAAAACACACAAGAGGAGACAAGACAGCATTGTTTTCATATGTGACGATGGTTCTACATAAGAAACTGAAGAAAATAAGACCCTGGTTGTAGCTGTAGTGAACTTAATTTAAAAAAAAAATGAATACCTGTATATATGTTTTAAGTAATGCTATTTAATGTTAATAAATGGAACACTAGGAGTAGCTAACCACTAATGGTAAAGAAATAAGGCGAGACGATTGGGAACGCCAACGTATGTACAGTAAGTACGTACATATGAAAAATATCGTCATTTCTCTAAATATGAATATGAAAGCAACACTTATTTACTGTTCATATATATTTTAAATAATATTTACGAATGTAAAAAAAAATTCTATTTACCAATGGTGGTAAAGTCTAAAACATAAGGACAGCCAATGAATATTGTGCGAGTTTTTACTCAGATGACAAAGTCATCAGGTTCAACTCTGGCTGAAGCTGTAGGTTCAACTCTGGCTGAAGCTGTAGCATTCCATAAAGCTGTTGCTGAAACTGTTACTGAACCCGAAGTTGAACCTGCTTATGATGCGGAATTTGATGGTGTGGCTGAAGTTGATGGTTTAGGCCTTCAAATAATAAAGCTGTCTAAAGAACCCTGCACAGCTGCTTTCTTTTCTCATTATGCATCTTTATGTAGAGGTCATTTGCATTTATTTAAATTTTAAGGCTTTGTTCTGTTAATGGATCCACTTCAGAAAATATGTTCATTGCTTGCTCCATATAATATCCACAAACCTCTCCCCTTTTTCATATCCTTTTAACACATCTAGTTTTTACAGTAATTTTTTTTTATAATACATATTGGGATTTAGTTATTATTTATATGAAAATGTAATTTTATTTAATTTTTAATATATTTTGGTCTTAAATATGAATGAAATAAGGACATAAATTGAATTGGGTTATAAATTAACTAGGGTTATAAGTATGAAAAGTTGTTGGTCGAACCAATGTTATCGGAGGCTTACAACAGGGTTAAGGACCCAAATCCGGGTCGTAAGTCGAAAATGCTTAAATAATACATAGAAAATCTAAAATGGGTGTCTCTTTTTCTTCTCGGCACCACAAAACTCTCACTTTTAAACTTGCCAGCCATTTTAAAGTGATTTACAAATGAAAATTTTGTCATTACACAGTGCAATCACTAACGTCGGGACTCGAAAATACGTAATTTGAAATTTTTTTGGTACGACTGAGGCGGTCGTAAGTCGAGGGATACCTCTACCTGTATTAATAATTTCCTTAATATTAATTGTATTTCAGGTATTGTTGGAGGCCTGAGCACGGTGGCAGCTTGTGCACCGAGTGATAAGTTCCTCAACTGGGCTGGGCCACTTGGTATTGGTCTTGGGGGCGTGCTCGTGGCATCGCTCGGCTCAGCCTTCCTGCCTCCCACATCTGCCCTCGGCCTTTCTCTGTACTCCATCTCCCTCTATGGTGGTCTGCTGCTCTTCTCAGCCTTCCTGCTCTATGATACCCAGAAGGTAAACTTTCACTTAATTTGTACAGAAACTTCCAGATAACGGGCTTCTCCGTCTCTATGTACAGTAATCTGTTTGAGGGGGCCAGAACTTCACATGTAACAGATTCTCGATATAACAAACTTTTATATCTATAAACAGTAGAACCTGGACTAATTGGGGCAGACCCCAGTCCGAAAAATGCGAAAGTCCTTAAAGAATGAGCATTCTTGAAAAAAGAATCCCACACTGAAAACCATGAGTCATTGTTTATAAAGAGCAAACAGCTGATCAGCTTACCACAATGTCCGTCTTCAACACTTAGTACAGCACAGTTGTGTATTTACCATCACTTAATAAATACTATTGTAGTGTATTTATCACCACTTAATAAATTCTATTTAAGTGTAAATTATTATGCATCTGCATATACCCTGGTTTATTCATTAATCATTTGTCGAAGTGTACAAGTTGCCAAACTGAGTCATCATATAACAATCAAAGGTAGTAAATAACGTTTTTAAGAAGGTATCTTCATTATACAGTGTCTTAAAGTGACCCCTGTTGTAAGCTGGTCTATTGAAAGCTCTCACACAAATGCATCTTGAGTAAATAACCTTCTGAACAGCTTATCCTTTTATTTTCAAGTCATATTACAAATTACATACAGTATTGTATGTTTTTCTGTTACTGAAGATGCTATATTAATCTTGATGAACCATAAACCATAAGAGGCCAATCATATGAGAATGTAATACTGAATCAATATATAAATAAACCTGACAAATGTGGCAACACCTGATCAGCTCCAGTCTGCTTACATATTCGAGTGTCTTAGTTCTCAGTAGGCCAATGGCAAATCTGATTAGATCACTACAGTATTCAGTAAGTGTGGTTCATTTCAAAGACTATTTTTATTAATCTCTCCCCCCCCCCTTTTTTTTATAGTATTTCTGGTGACCAAAGCATCTCAGAGTCCAAAAAAGCAAATTCCAATATATTGAAGTCCTATTTATTGAGGTTTTACTGGGTAGTTCATTAAGTGGGTATTTCACATCTAATGGACCCTCAATATAATGGACTTTTATGTTTATAGTTTATTAGATGGGGGTTTCACATGTAACAGACCTTCGATATAATGTAATTTCATCTTTATATAGTCCATTTAGAGATTTCACTTGTATGTGTTTGGCTGTAGCAGATCTAGCAATTGCTGTATTGGGTGTTCTGTTAGGTTAGGGTGGTTAATGTTCAGGTGAAATAAGCTGGGGTGTCTAATGTTCATATGAAATAAGCTGGGGTGTCTAATGTTAAGTTCAAGACATTTTATGTTATTATTTTTGCACCATATGACATTTTTATACTGTTAGTAGATAGTTGATGACTACACCCTTTCCATGCTAAACTGGCCCATAAGCCACACCCCTCTTCTATGAAAATAGCTGATTGGTTCATAGGAAATGTTCGTGCAGCTGTCCAGCAGATGTTAAATCTTAACTCAACAGATGTCAGCATTGTGCTACTTAACCAACAAAAACATTTCTCACACCCACGATTAAATTATTAAATACTTTATTCACTAACTTGGCATCCCTATCTTAAATACTGCCTTGTGACAAGATTTAAGTAATAATATATTCTGTGAAATATTAAGAAGCAATGTAGAGGTTTAACATTTTCATCCTCTGTTATCAAGTATCAAGGAATTTGGTGCAAATGAACAAAAATCTCAGCCAATGATGGACGAGGTATAGTAAATTTGTGTCACAGTAGTCTAATGCGAGCTCTAATGTACTGGCAGTACGAGTTAAGTGTCCAGCTGATCTGTCACTATGAGCTGATCACCTGTTGATCTGGCCACGAAGCCCAGTGGCTGTTCCCCTGAGCATTTTACCTTCCCCTAGACTGTGCGTATTTATATCGAGTTTTATCAGTTACATATATAAATGATTTGGGATATACTGTATACAACCATACAAACTGTAGTTCCTTACCTATTGTGCTATATTTATTGTAGCATTTATTTCTGTTTGCTTTATGATTGGTACAAAAGAAAGAAATATGAAAAGACATCATTTGAAAGCGAATTTCATCTTTGATTTCGACCTTTCGTGATAAATATTTAAAATTCTAACATCCTCTCTGAAGTGCTAATGTCTTAAAATCATTTGCATTTTGATAGTCCAGCTATTTAACATTATTAGTCCAGCTATTTAACATTATTTTAGAGAATAACGGGTTTGCTTACCAATTATGAACATATATAATTTGAATAAATGGACAACTACATGAAAATTTTCTATGAACCAATCTGCTATTTGTAGCTATAGACGAGAGGCGTGGTTTATGGGCCAGGTTAGCATGGAAATACTACACTGTGCTTACTAATGTAATATATATAAAAACCTTAGTTGTTGAAATGTAGTAATTACTACACTTCAACATCTAAGGTCCATGTTAACATTAATAACATGTGACCTTTTTCATGCTGAAAACCTTTTTGTTTAGGTGGTGCGCAAAGCTGAAAGTCACCCCAACATGTACGGGGTTATGCCTTACGACCCCATTAACATGTCTCACCACATTGTCATGGACGCCCTCAACATCTTCATCCGTATAGCACAGATTCTGGGTATGGTTGGCGGAAGACGAAAATAAACCTGCGGCATAAACGTGTAAGAAATTGGATATTGTAACCTCAGTGTATATGTAAGGATTTTATATCATTCATTTTGCTACTCTTGTGTCTATTAAGTAGTAATAGATGTGAGAGATTGATAGTCACTTGTTTTGTTCTATTTTTAGTATCTGTTGAGTTTCAGACATCAAGTAGCAGGTACTTGTGTGTTCTTTACTACCTGACCGGAAAATCTATATGAAAGTTTCCACCGATTGCTGTGTAAACACGAGTTGTCAGTCAAATTGAAGTGAAAAAATCAACACAAGTAAGGCATTTACCTGTAGATGGACACAAGTGGGAGTTGATACAAACTGATTTTATTGTGCTTATTTAACATTTTACCTAAAAAAAAAAACTGGGCAAGCAAAGTTCCTCCCAAATTTGTCAGGGCAAGTAAAGAAAAACTATCCAGGCAAGTAAATTGCTTAAGTCACTTGCCTGGGACAAGTAATATAAAAATTAAACAACCCTATTTTCAACAGACAATTGGATAATGCTAGACACATTTCACAGCAAAATACAAAATATACCCTGATATATTATTCACTCAGAAAACAATACATTTTCTTATGTATAAACTACAGTATAAAGCCAAGTAAAACTTCTTTAATGGTTGAAGTTACTATACAGCATACGATGGTTATTACCCTGAAGATAATAAAGTTATAACCAGGGAATAATGGTACTTACATATTGCTGTACAATGGTGATAATGTACTTTGCTTGGCACGAGTAAAAATACAATAATCTTTAAAATTTCAAAAATACATTCACTGTTATTAAGAACAGAAACTAGATAAGTTATATCTGAGCCCCCCCCCCCCAAAGTAGTGGCAATTATTAATTCCTATTATTATACTGTACTATAAGGAGAACAAGATACAGTATTATACAACATATCTGGCACACTTCAACAATTCACTGAAAAATTGACCTCCATCTAGTAGTCGCTAAACAATATTTATAAAATATAAGAATTATCTAATAATTCCGTATGAACTTGTACCTAATAGTTATTGAACAATGTCATCTAACGTCTTAACAAGGCATTTTTTACCCTAGATGAACACCTCGCTAGTCAGCCAGCGGGTGCCCTATCACTTCTGGTAGATGACACATTAATTGGCTTTAAGTCCCAGTAAATATCTACAAGAACTAAAGTTCATCATGCTCCAAGTGTCTAGTGATGAAAGAGACCATGTCGTTCAAAGAGCGATCTCCATTGTATTCTCCAATGTGATTGGCATTCTTGTACAGATACAAAGTTGGAAATCCATTTACCTGTGAAAAACAATATATATATATATTTGTTTGATATCCCTTATCCAAAATGCTCTGAAATCCAAGTCTATTTCATTATATTTATGGTAGATAATACACTTAATATGGCATATATCATAATTTTTATTATTAGGGTAAATATGTATGTGTAATGAATAAAGGTAAGACACAGGCTGCTTAGCACCTCGTAGTCATGGCAATGCCAAGCAGACAACAGTGATTGCTTACGTTTCTGGGTCTTTAATGTACATCTTATCACATACTTTATACCGAAAATGGTCAAATTATGTTTCATAAAGCTACCTGCAGAATATATGTATCCATATGCTGTAAATAAAAAATAAATGAATTTTATGCATAGACTTGGGGCCCCAAACCTGCTGGGTGAGCCACCGGATTATATAGGTATTCTAAAATTCAGGGTCACAAATTTGCAAACATCTAAAAAATATAGCTGAAAACTTGACATTTTGGTAAGACTCAAGGTGACTTGAAAAAAAAAATTAATGAAATTCTACCTGTGTAGGCTTTCAGCACACTTTAAATTTATAGTTGTGACCATTTTTCATGATGATCATATCAAGAAATGGAAGGGATCCAATAATTTCTTTTTCAATTTTGCAGGTAATACTAGACAAGATCATTAAGCATGTTCCAAAATTACAGTGGGCCCCTGTTTCTAGGCCACAGACAAAGAACATCATCTACAGGTACATACCTATACCATGGAGGAATGAAATCATCTATGTTGGGTAGCAATCTAGCTTTAAAACCTCCATATAATTACCCTTGCTCATGCTAAATATTTATTTGTAAAACTTTCCACTTGTCCTAAAAACATTGTCAGTAATGCATAACACTCGGTTTGAGAAAATGTAACAGATGCAATTTATCTTTAAGGAATGAAAGAAGGTCATTAATGCAGTGGTACTCTCTTGAAAATTGAATTTACATCAAAACTTATTAATTCACATGGTTCATTGTGTTTATCAATTAAATCACTGCTGTTGTGTATATGTAGGTGGATTAGATATCTGGCCTGTAAGAGGGGATAAATGTCTTGAATAAAGACAAAAGCTAAAATGCTCCAGAGTTTCCCTTTTCCTGTGTGGTTTTATTAGGATATACCTTGTTCTTGTTTCCATTATATATATATACATACATATATACATATATACACACACACACATACATACACACACAAGTAAATCACTGTGGGTGCGCGTGATCCAGGTATATGCTGATAACCACAGAGAAAGAAGAAAACACAAAGTTCCCAAGCACTTTCGTGTAATTCACATCTTCAGGGGTGAGTACAGACTAAGGAGAAGTACAAAACAAGGTATATATATACAGAGGAGGGTGAGATCAGGTCCACAATGGTCAGGTATTAGGTAATGACCCTACTACAGTATTCTTCAAAAAGCACCGCAGCAGTCTGTAGTAGGGTCATTACCTAATACCTGACCATTGTGGACCTGATCTCACCCTCCTCTGTATATATATACCTTGTTTTGTACTTCTCCTTAGTCTGTACTCACCCCTGAAGATGTGAATTACACGAAAGTGCTTGGGAACTTTGTGTTTTCTTCTTTCTCTGTGGTTATCAGCATATACCTAGATCACGTGCACCCACAGTGATTATATATCTATATGTATATCTATATCTATATATATATCTATCTATCTATCTATCTATATATATATATATATATATATATATATATATATATATATATATATATACAGTGACCCCTCGTTTAACGAACACCTCGGTTAACGTAATTTCGATTAACGAACTGCCTTCCATAAGGATCTTCAATTCGGTTAACGAAAAAAAATTCGCTTAACGAACTTCTTACGAACCGACCTCAACATGTTTTCGCTTGCACTGACCGGGCAACCAGCTTTAGTATCAGTCCGCCAATACATTAATCGGTTCTAGGGCTTAAATTCCTTACTATTTTTGTAAATATCAAGAAGTTTATACTATTCAATAATTTTAAAAGTTTAATATTCAATTTTTAAGTCATTTTAACAATTATTGAACGAAATTGAAGGTAAAGTGACTAGTTTAATGCGCGGCATCCAGCCTCTTAACACAGCAAACAGGCGTCAGTCTCTCTCTGTTTTCACTGGAGGTAACATCTTGCTTGAGACTCTCTTCAACTAAATGCTTTTTTCTGTGTTTCCAAGCAAATTATTGGTCATTTTGAAATATATTTTATATATTGACAATATATAATGCAGTGCAGCATTGATTTAAAGAAAATAATCTTGAATTAAACCAGAGAGCTAAAATTTTATGGGTGAAATGGCACCATGGGGTGACTTCTCTTCCACCCCAATGCCTTCTCTTCTTCCTTCTCCTCCACCCCCATTCTAAATCCCATCATCATCATCATCATCCAGGAGCCTTCTACATACACACCTCAAAGTAAGTAAATTTTTCCGCCATTTTTGTTGAAGTTAGGAAATTTTCGGTGAGCTGGAACCAATTACCCAAAAACCCATTGAAACAATGGTTTCGGTTAACGAACGTTTCGGTTAACGAACGACCTTCTGGAACGGATTGAGTTCGTTAACCGAGGGGCCACTGTATATATATATATATATATATATATATATATATATATATATATATATCTCTCTCTCTCTCTCTCTCTCTCTCTCTCTATATATATATATATCTATCAATATATATATATATATATATATTTCTATCTATCTATCTATATATCAGTGGCGTGTCGTGAGAAAATGCTAGGGTAAGCAAATGACGCTTTCTTACTTGTAAAGTCACGAGATCTAAAAGAATTCTTAGTAGATCACAGACTGTATGTGATCTACTAAAGAATTCTTTTAGATCTCGTGACTTTACAAGTAAGAAAGCGTCATTTGCTTGCCCTAGCATTTTCTCACGACACGCCACTGCTATATATCTATCTATCTATATATATATCTATCTATATCTATCTATATCTATCTATCTATATCTATATATATCTATATCTATATCTATCTACCTATGTATCTATCTATCTATGTATCTATCTATCTATCTATCTATATCTATCTATATATATATATATATATATTCCTATATATGATAGGGTTGCATTCCTGAAAACCCTAACATAAATCATGAGTCCTTGAAAATGGGTTTCAATTTGATATATTCAAGACTTTTAAATTGTGTACATAAATTTTTTTTTTTTACTTGCCATGTAAGTTAAGTTTATTCCTATTTAGTTTTCCACTTTCCTATGTACAATTTATTTCTGCTCTGTATCATATGTCATGAATCATTAATTTTACCGACATTTGCCGAAGCAAAAGTGAAGCATTAGTAACTCGCCGAATCACTCCATCCATTCTCAAACTGTGCAAGCCGTAAAAAATTACTCACGTTTTGCTCGCTGCACAAGGCTCTATTCACCTCCTGTGTACAATCCACTTTAGCTATCTTCACCTGGTCATGGCCAACAAACTTGCGACCCAACTCATCATATGTTGGGGCCATGCGCTTGCAGTGGCCACACCTAAAATTAAGGGTGAAATTAAGAGAGATCCACACAAATAAATCTTAAGAATATGTTTAGTGATTGCATATAAATACTGTACCTGTATATAGTGGAGTGTAAGACAACATGGTGTACGCGATGCCCCAAATTTTCAATTTACTGTATATATATGAAGTTCTATTTGCTGTATAAGATGATTATAAAATATGAAAGTTGGTGTAATAAACATTACTTTTTTTATCTGGGACAATTTCTTACCCTAAAAGCACATAACATTACGAGACAGCCGTGCATGCAGCATTCACTTCTCGTCTTGCCTGCGATGTCCACTGTTTCTCTGTGGATGTCAGTCACACTAAAATAACCCCTTATAGTACATCCCCCTTTCCTCACACAGCCAAACTGTGGAATGTTCTGCCTTCTTCTATGTTC